CTGTCTCTCTCCAGAGAGCACACATGTTCTATGGCAAAAATCTTTTTAAAAAAATAAAAAAAGAGAGAAAAGTCAGTCACTTGAGACATACATGAATTCCTTAACCTCTTTACTGTCTACTTATAATTTTTTTTTTTTTAGAGGTTTTTGCTATAGGGCGAGTGCACTTGCCAGAAAGAGAGACAGAAAGTGAGAAATTACCCCCGAGGATGGCCACCTGCAATCCCTTCTCCTCCATTCTCCTCTTGGTATCTTGGGCACGCACACACATGTGCCTGGTATGAGTTTAAGTCACCAGGTCCAGGACTCAAACTGTGGTCGACTACATGGGAGTCCTGTGATATAACCATTACGCCAACTGCTAGTCTCCTGTCCACTTATACTTATTCTTCAAACAAATCCAATTGTGGAACCTAAAAGTTCCAAGACATTATAGATGCTCCTAAATTAAGGCAAGATTACATGCCAATACACATATTACAAGCTGAAAATATCCTAAGTCAAAAATGTATTGGGAATCAGCAGTTAGTGTAATGGCTATGTCACTGGACTCCCACGTAGTCGACTGCGGTTCGCGTCCCGGACCTGGTAGCTTAAAACTCACACCGGGCGCGTGTGCGTGCGTGCCCAAGATCCTGAGAGGAGAATGGAGGAGAAGGGATTGCGTGTGACCATCCCCCCTGGGAGGTGATTTCTCGCTTTCTGTCTCTATGTCTCTCTCTGTCTGTCTGGCGAGCGCACGCGCCCTATAGCGAAAATCTCTCCAAAAAAAAAAAAGTATTTTGGCCACCAATTCAAAGTATGGCTTCTACTGAATGTGTATCACTTTCAGACTAGCAGAAAGTTGAAAATTACAAGTTGAAACACTGTAAGTTGGGGAGAATTTGTTTTTTTTTGTTTTTTTTTTTTTTTTGAGAGGTTTTTCACTATAGGGCGTGTGCGCTCGCCAGACAGACAGAGAGAGACATAGAGACAGAAAGCGAGAAATCACCCCCCAGAGGGGATGGCCACGCCGCAATCCCTTCTCCTCCACTCTCTTGGGATCTTGGGCACGCACGCACACGCGCCCGGCGTGGGTTCTAAGCCACCGGGTCCGGGACGCGAACCGCGGTCGACTACATGGGAGTCCAGTGACATAGCCACTACGCTAACTGCTGGTTCCCGGGAGAATTTGTTTTTATACCTTGTCTGCCCCTAAGATAATTCCAGGGTCTCCAAGGTTTCTGTACGACTTGATCCAAATGAAGATATCCAGAGGAATCCATTCACCTCCCCATCACTGTTATCATAGTTTCCTTTTGACCCATTCTGCCTCTTCCCTTCTACTCATTCTCTGAATCTGCTTCTAGGTGTTCTATTATAAAATATCGATTCTTAGGATAAATGATGTATACACAATTGTGAGGTAAGTAGCCAAGAAGACTGGAATAAAACATAAACCTTCACCATAAGCCTACCCCTCCCACTCCACTGCATCATCTACTTTCCCAAAGTACTCACGGTAATCTTGAACCAGTTTTTTGTGGTCCCATCCTGGCTGGTACCGGCCCCTCCTCTCTCTGGAGGAGCTCTGTCTCTCCGCACAGTAACATGAATGCGATCTCGATCATGCCAATTATCACCTCTGCGGTTAGGGCGGGTGACATAAGGGTTGCTGTGGGGAAGCAGGGAATAAAATGTCCATAAATGCCAACAAAGTCTCCCCTATGACTTTACTGCATTGTAAGTGAGATGACACCTAAGACTGTCGAACCATTAAACTGATCCAGGCATTTCTCACTTTTCCAGGATGGTAAGAGAACTATATAGTCTAGTGGATTGCTAAATTCAAGTAAGACCAACTGGTCACTTACTATCGTACTCGGGGACCATCCTGGGCATCACTCATTGCTACATCTCCATCATCTTCCTCCAGGCGAGAAGACCGAATACCAGAACCACCTCTTCCGGACCTACGGTTTCCCTCACCATACTTCCACCGGAAGGGTCCTCGGCCTTTCTTTCGTCTTTGAGGAAAATTAACACGGTCATCATGCTCTGGAGTGGGAAAACAGAAAACTAGTTAGAAATGCTACCTTGGTGAGGCAGTCACAGTCTCTAGCATTCTGTGCTCCCGGAAAAGATGCATACTAAAAGAGACCCCTTCCACGCAAATGCCTCCTGTCTAGAGGAAAGAACGCTCTCTGTGAGATAGCAGCATGAGAAAGAAGTTATATTAAAAAGGTGTGGGGCTTTTAAAAAATGAAGCAGAAACTGGAACTACAAAGAACAGAGGCAGAATGTAGAAGTGTGAATTTTTTTTGAGGGGTTTTTGCTATAGGGCGCGTGCACTTACCAGAAAGAGAAAGAGAGACAGAAAGCGAGAAATCACCCCCCAGGGAAGATGGCCACGCCGCAATCCCTTCTCCTTCATTCTCCTCTCAGGATCATGGGCATGCACGTACACGTGCCTGGCATGAGTTTAAGCCACCAGGTCCGGGACTCGAACCCCAGTTGACTACATGGGAGTCCAGCGACATAGCCATTACGCCAACTGCTGGTCCCAGAAGTGTGAATGACCCCAGAGTCCCCAGAAGCTGCCATTCAGTACTTTCTTTGCCTACACAGTGCTGCCAGGAGCAGCAGATGATTCCCAGAAGTACTAGGAACCAGCCCCCAGTACAGTGTAACAAATGCCAGTTACAAATGACCAATTGAAGGGTCTCCTAGGAAAATCTTGTTCTCAAACTGCCACTCTGCAGTTTTGTGAGCTGTTTCCTTGGCCAGAAACTAGTGGCAGCCCTAGTAGCTGCTCTAGTGGCAGCTCCACCCTAAGGTTGCTTAATCAATGGTCCTTAATCAAGTGGTCCTGGAATGCTCTCCAAGAACATGAACTCTAACTCCTGCTGTGTAGGAATGCTTCTTAAATAAAAAGCCTATGATTTCCAAAAAAAAGGTCTGCCTAATACCTGGTATTCTGCAAACAATGAACCTCAACAAATGATCCTTTTTTAAATAAAAAGTATATTAAACGTGAACAGGAGGCGCAGCTAATATTCAGAAAATTGTCTCTCCAGAGCGTCACTACGCTCCAGACTTGATAGAAATAATCTCTTTTCAACATACACACACATACATTACATCAGTATTGTTTCTACTGAAATTTATAGGGTGGAAATGAGGCCTGAGAGTTCTACCTCATTTAGGCTTGGCACAATCATTTCAAGATCAACCTGGGCTGTCATGCACTCCTAACACTACAATGAACTAACTAATCACTCCTCGCAGCATCCAACCAGAACACTCGGTGGATGTGGAGGTCTCAAATATTAAAGTCTCGGACCAAGGGGCAAGGCAGATCGGACACAGTAAAAAAAAAACAAAAAAAAACTTGGCAATCAGAATAGCTCTGGAGCAGGGAATTGACTCACACTGCAAGAGCCAGGTAGCCAAACTGAACTGACAGGCACCAAGCACCCACAAAGTTCAAAGGGATCTCATCACCCCACCTCGAACCACCAGATCCGAGTCGCAGGTCCTCCCAACACCAGGATTCGAGTAAACAACTCAGGTTCCCCCCTCGGGCCTCACGCCCCGGGGCTGCGGCCTAGGCCGGCGCCGCCCACCGGAGTCCCAGATCACCAGCTCCCACCCTGAGGGCAGCACTGACCGTTGTACGACTTCCCCTCATCCGCCATGGCACAGCGAAGGACAGGGGAGGGCTCAAGCGCGGGCCCCGACGCCACCAAACGTCCGAACGTCCAGGCGCTCAAGACCGAAGCGCTCCTACGGCCGGCGCCACCGCATTTATCCGGCGAAGCACGTCGCGCGCCGCCGACGTCCCTAAGCAGTGGGCGGTGCCGCGGGGGGAGGGGGGGGAAGAGCTCGGCCCCCTGCGCATGCGCACACGCAGGGCTTCCGTGGGGGGCGGAACCTGGCACCTCCGCCCCGCCCCAGACCTGCGCTCGCGGAGCTTTGGCTCGCTGTCAGGTCACCCCACCCCCTTCTCTTCGGTCCGCGCTAACGGCCTCCGAGGTCCGACTTTGCGCAGGAGGGAAAAGGATCGCACGAAGACCTTTGGAGGGAGATTGGCCTCACTGCCGGATGCTCACTCACAGACCCCCCCAAGCGGGATCCAGCCAGTGTTAAGTCTCAGCTCAGCTCCTTTCCAGCTGCGACTATGCCTCACCATATAAAATGGACTGATCATTTCCAGAAAACTGGACGTAAGCTCCACGGGAGTAGGTTGACAAATTCATGTCTTTTTTTTCTCCTCCAGTGATCAGCCTATCAAGTCTGGAACACAGTAGAAACTCAACGAGTTACTTGTGGGGGCCAGTCGATGGCATGGTGGCTATATTGCTGGACTCTCACATGAGTGACCACAGTTTGTGCCTTGAAAATCACTCCAGACCCAAGTGTGCGTGGGCGCCCGAGACCCCAGGAGGAAAATGGGGCATGGTCATTCCCCCTGGGGTATGATTTCTCACTTTCCCTCACTGTTTGTCTCTCTCCCCAGCGAGCACCCGCACTCTATGGCAGAGATCTCTAAAAAAACCAAACCAAAACAAATTGTTTATGAAATGGGGCAAACAGGTGACATGGTCAAGACGTTGGACATTCCCACATGGCCAACCACGGTTCAAGTCCTGGACCTGGAGGCTTGCTTTCTCACTTTCCCTGTGTGTGTGTGTGTGTGTGTGTCGATCTCTGGTCAAATTAAATAAAAGAATAAATAAAATAATTCTTTAAAAATTATTTATGAAATGAATTTGTTCTATACATTCCCCAATGCAGAGAGGCTGAATCAACGGAGATGGTATCTGTTAGGGACTTCGCTAACATTTTCTTCACAAGCTTCCCAATCCATTGCTGCAGTGCTATGCTAGACCATCATGTGTCCACCGGACAGTGAAGGTAGCCAGCAGTAGCTGACCACTTGAAGGAATGCCAAGAGGAAAGATCTAAATGCCAGGGCCATGGGCTCTCCTAGACCCCCTCAAAAATACTAGGAGCCTGAGTCTGTTTGAACATCCTTTGGGATTTATGAGGTGGGGACTTTGAGTGACCTCAAAAATGGTATTGTGGGTCTGATCAGGAAGGAAAGCAGCATATTATCCTCCTTGGAGTGTGGGTATTCCAGGCAGGTCTTCCATCCTCTTGTAACTGGCTTGGATTTGGTGAGTGGCTTGGAGGGAATCAAGAGCTGCAGCTGGAGCTAAGAACAAATTCTTCACTTTCAGCTTGTGGCAGCTGGCAAAGCTCCTGCCTTACTCAGTTAAGGAGGAACTGGGTAAATGGTTGGAAGATACAGCTGAAACAGGTCCAAACACTACTTGAGATGGTCAGGAAGTTGCCACCAACGGACCCATTCTGGGATCCTGCCCCCCCATTTCAAAGGATGTTTCCACATCAGTGAGGTACCACTGCACTTGGTTTTCCCCTCCATGGAGAGAGCTGTGAACCCAAAAGCTGCCTCCATGAGATGAAGGCCCCTACCAGCATTAGCCCAACCCATTCAGTCCTGCTAGTGGGCAGTGGCTCACTCCATTTGCTGCCAAGAACCCCCAGCGCTCCCACCCAGAAATGATGACATAGCCAGTGAGGCTGACAGTCTTGTAATTGGGAGAAAATAGGCTGCAGCATATTTGGCAGATTGAAAGTCACTAGCAGCCAGTGTTGGGGGCTGTGTAGGCAGCTGAAGGGCTCAGGGCCCCCAGGCTCATGTGGTAAAGAGAGGAAGAAAGAAGTCATATTCTAACCCAGATGGGAAAGTTGGTCCCTGGGACAATTTCGTTTCCTCTCCTCACTCTCAGGAAGGTGGAGAATATCATCTCCCTTTGTTGCCAAAGTTTCCTTTGGGAGAAGCTTGAGAAGGTTTATAAAAATCTCCTAGTGGAGGCAACTTCCCCATTGACCCCCAGCTGGCCTCTGCTCCCTTTCAGTCACTTCACAGCAGAGTTCATGTCCAGAACCGTGTGCGTTTCATGGGCCTGAGAGTTGCGAGGGGAGGTCAGGTGGCCAGAGGAGAGGGGTGGGGGACCATGGGCTGTGGTCATTCTTAGCAGTTCCGAGGAAACAGGGCTTTTCTCTCAAGCACCCTGAACAGGCTCAGTGTAGGCAATGGCCACCTCCTCTCCCAGGAGGGTCCTGAACCCCCACAAACTGCCTCAGAGTAGAGAGGGTTCAGGCCAGGAAGACCACAAAGATGATGAAGAAGACAATGAGGATGAGGAAGATTTTGACCATGAGCCACCGGTTGGAGGTGACCGACTGGAAGTACTTGAGGATCTCTGAATGGGCGGCCTCAACATCCAGCTGAGCTCCTAGCACGTTCTCGTCGATCCTGGGAACAGGGCCGGGAGAAGAAACAGAAGGGCACTGAATTAAAACGAATGTTCTTGAAGTCTGTTTATTGACGTGGAAAGATGGTCACAATATGTGGGAGTGAAAAGTGTATATAATATGATTCCATTTTTGTGTATATGAGGGGACTTCAAAAAGTTTATGGAGGGGAGGTGGTGGTGTGGGGAGGGCAGCTGAATTTACATGTGGCCAACTGCCATTTGAGTCCTGGACACAGTGGCTTGAAACTCACGCCGGGCACATGTGCACCCAAAATTCCGAGAGGGGAATGAGGACAAGGAATTACAGCATGGTCATTCTCCCTGGGGGATGACTTCTTGCTTTCTTTCTCTTTTTCTCTCTCTCTCCTCTCCAGTGAGTGCACGCACCCTATGGTAAAAACTTAAAAAAAAAAAAAAAAAAAAAAAAGAATTTTATAGAGGGCCAGCAGGTGGTGTGGAAGTTAAGGTGCTGGATTCCACATAGCTGACTTTATGGTTTGAGTGCTGGACTTGGTGGCTTGAAAATCATGTCATGTACATGTGCGTGGGAGCCCAAAATCTGAAGGAAATGGGATTGTGGAGTGACCATACCCCCGAAAGCTGATTTCTTACTTTCCCTCTCTCCAGAGAGTACACATGCCCTATCGCAAAAAAAAAAAAAAAAAAAAAAAGTTTATGGAAATACAGAATTAACATGTTTATTTTTGTGAAAAAAAGTTTAAATCCATGCATTCTTTTTTCATACTATGTACTTTCTTTGTACTTCTCAAAGACCCCTCATATACATATTTGTGCACAAAAAAGGAAGTATAATATAAACAAGTTTTGCTTCTAGTTTGAAAGCCAGTTCTGTCACTTACTACAAGGTGACTCCAAGTTAGTCATTTAACCTCAAATCTCATATTCCCCACCTACAAAATGAGAATAACGAAAGCCCTACCTCTTCTCAGGATGCTTCTCAGGTTGTTGTCAATCTTCAGAGCTAATGAATAAGAAGTCCCCAACCTATAAGAGCCCCTAAAAAGGCCAGGAGGTGGCATAGTGGTTAAGATGCTAGATTGCTACATGCATGATTGCAGTTCAAGTCCCAGATGAGGCAGCTTGAAAATCATGCTGGGTGAGTGTGTGTGTGCCCAAAATCTCAAGAGGAGAATGGATTGTAGCATAGTCATTCCCTCTGGGAGTGATTTCTCACTTTCTCTCTTTCTGTCTCTCTTGGGAGAGCACATGTACCCTATGGCAGAAACCTTAAAAAAAAAGGGGGGGGGGCAGCGGGTGGCATGGTGGTTAAGGCGCTGGACACTCCCACATGGCCAACCACAGTTCGAGTCCTGGACCTGGTGGCTTGCTTTCTCGCTTTCCCTCTCTCCCTCTCTCTGGCCAAATTAAAATATGTGAATGAATAAATAAGTAAATAAATAAACAATTCTAAAAAAAAATAGACTCTAAAATATTAGTTACTATTATTTAGTCATCAGTATTTACTGATTTTGAACTAATGAGTATGTCTGTATTTGTAATAAGGGAATAAAAGTTCACAAGCCAATATAAGCAGGAAATCCTAGTTCTGAGTGAGAAAAGAAGAAAACTTGATATAAACAGGAAGTCAGGAGATAAGAGAGGTCCCACATTAAGATAAAATGTTTTGGGCATCAGTAGCATAGCGGCTATGGTGGCTAGATCCCACATGGTTGATTGTGTGATTCGGGTCCTGAATTCAGAGGCTTGAAAGACATGCCAGGCACTTGTACACGAGTGCCTAAAATTCCAAAAGGAAAAATGGAAAAGGCAGAATTGCAGTGTAGTCATCTCTGTTTCTTGCTCCGGTGAGTACACTCACCTGATAGCAAAAAAGAATCCATAAATAAAAACAAATAGGAGGGAACTCTGGTGGTTAAAAACATTAGAAACCGGGGTTAGCAGATGGCATAGCATTTATATTGCTGAACTCCCATGAGGGCAACCATGGTTTGAGTCCCCGACCAAATGGCTTGAAATTCATATACCAGGTGTGTGTGCATGTATTTGCCCAAGATCCCAGAAGAATGGAGGAGAAGGGATTGTGGTGTGGCCATCTCCCTGGGGGGCTGACTTCTCACTTTCCCTCTCACTGTCTCTGTCTCTCTCTCCCACATGTGCACACACCCTAAAAAAATCCTCTCAAAAAAAAAAAAAAAAATTAGGAATCTGGACCAGCAAAAAGGCTGGGTCCCACATGGTCAGCTTCTGCAGTGCAAATCTTGGACCCAGCAGCTCAAGAATCATGCAGAGGGGAACCAGCAGTTAGCGTAATGGCTATGTCGCTGGACTCCCACGTAGTCGACCGCGGTTCGTGTCCCGGACCTGGTGGCTTAAAACTCACACCGGGCGCGTGTGCATGTGTGCCCAAGATCCCGAGAGGAGAATGGAGGAGAAGGGATTGCGGCGTGACCATCCCCCCTGGGGGGTGATTTCTTGCTTTCTGTCTCTATGTCTCTCTCTGTCTGTCTGGCGAGCGCACGTGCCCTACAGTGAAAATCTCTTAAAAAAAAAAATAAGAATCATGCAGAGCCCATGTGCATACATGCCCAAAATCCCAAGAGGAGAATGGAGAAAAAAGGATTGTGGCACGGCCATTTCCCCGGGGAGTGGAGGAGGGTGCTTTCTCATTCTCTCTATATCTCTCTGGTAAGTGCACACACCCTATACCAAAACAAAACAAAACAAAAAGCAGAAAAGGAAAAATATCTAAAAGAAAAAGAAGCAAGCCCTGGAACTAGAAAGAGGACCTAAACATGATTAGGAGATCTTTGTTTTCTGAGTTTCAATTTTCCTAAAACTTCATGACTGAGAGTAATGGTGTCTTTTTTAAAACAAACAAACAAACAAACAAAAAACAAAACAGGTTTTTGCCTTAGGGCAACAAGTGGAGTGGAGGAAACAGAGGCAGTGAGAGGGTCAGAAATCACCCCCCAGGGGGGTGGCCCCACCACAATCCCTTCCTTTCCATTCCCTCCCCAGATCTCGGGCACGCACGCACGCGCACACACACACGGTATGAGTTTTTCCCTTTGTTTTGAACATTTATTTATTTATTTAAACATACATTTATTTATCTATTTATTCACTGAGATTTTCGGGCTACCAGGTCTAGGACTTGAACCATGGTCAGCCATGTGGAAGTCTAGAGCCTCAACCACCATGCCACCTGCCAGCTCCCCTGTGTTGAGTTTTAAGCCACTGGGTCCAGGACTTGAACTGCGGTTGTCATGTATGAATTCAGCAATGTAACCACTATACCATCTGCTGGCCCCAAGAATAATAGTACCATAATAAAAAGATATAGAAGCTGACATGAAGTGGTTCCAGATGACCAGATTTAAGAAACCTGTTACAACTGTCAGGGACCAGCCGTTGGTGTAATGGCTATGTTGCTGGACTCCCATGTAGTCGTGTTGCTGGACTCCCATGTAGTCGACCGCAGTTCAAGTCCCTGATCCGGTAGCTTAAACTCACACCAGGTGCATGTGCACCTAAATCCCAAGAGGAGAATGAAAGAGAAGGGATTGTGGTGTGGCCATCTCCTTTGGGGGGTGATTTCTTGCCTTCTGTCTCTGTCTCTCCCTGCTTTTCTGGCGAGCACACACATCCTATAATAGCAAAAATTTCTCCAAAAAAGAAAAAAGGGAAACCTATTGTAATTGTCATAAAGTATGAATATAGTGGGGCTGGCAGGTGGCATGGTGGTTAAGGGTGCTGGACTCCCACATGGCCAACCATGGTGAGTTCTGGACCTGGTGGCTTGCTTTCTCCCTTTCCCTCCCTCTCTTTCTGTCCCTCACTGGTCGAATTAAAATAAATAAATAAATGAATAAAGTAAAATAAATAAAGAATGAAGTAAATTATATTACATCGAATAAAAACAAAAAAATCCATGATTCCATAGTGCTAACTTAGAAATAAAAAGTTCCTTTATAGAAGAATGACAGCTAATAAATTTAGTAGAAATTACAGAATTGTAATGGTACAACTGCCATTTCATATTACCATTTCATAATAACACAATCTAACAAATAATTCAGGAAAGAATCATTATGTGGTGGGGAGCTGGACATTCAAATTCATCCAAAGCATCACTCCACAGATACTTAGCCTGACAGTCACCACCTTAAACAAGTGACCACATTCTGGCCGTGGTTTGAATCCTGCCAGGGCTGGAATTTTAACTGTGTGGTTGCCCACGTGGGACCCAGCGCCCTTACTCGCTAGGCCTAAACCTAACCCCGTTATTTCTTGAAGCCATTTTTTTCTCCTATCTCTTCACTGAATCTGACTCAAAGTCATCAAGATCTATACTGCAAACTCAGTGACTCTTTCTCGCTCCTTGAGGTTCTGCTTGCAGTAACGGCTAGGTCACTCTTATTAGAACAACCAATCCATAAAAACTATAAGCCCTAGAAGAAATATATAAAACAACTACCTTAGGTCAGCCAAGTTAATTGCCTGTTAAAACACAGAAGTCAGTATTCTTTGGAGACACCTAACAGAATCCAGAATCTCTGTAAATCAGTCATAACATCTAAGATACAGTGACAAATTAGAAGACATACAATGAGGGACCAGCAGTTAGCGTAATGGCTATGTTGCTGGACTACCATGTAGTCGACTGCAGTTCACGTCCCGGACCTGGTGGCTTAAACTCACGCCGGGTGCGTGTGCATGCGTGCCCAAGATCTCAAGAGGAGAATGGAGGAGAAGGTATTGCAGCGTGGCCATCCCCCCTGGGGGGTGATTTCTCGCTTTCTATCTCTCTGTCTCTCTCACACGCGCCCTACAGCGAAAAAAAACCTCTACAAAAAAAAAAAAAAAAAAAAAGAAGACATACAATGAAACAGGAAAGGGTACCCATACTCAAGAAAAGAGGCAGAGAATAAGACCAACCCTAGGATAACCCAGGGTTGGGATGTTGGAAATTAGTAGTCAAGGAATTTTTTTTTTTTTAGAGTTTATCCATTTCTTT